GCTGCTACCTCTGTCACTTAGAGAAAACCAGAAACTGCCATCTCCTGCCTCAACAAAGAGCATGACTCTGTGYTTCCCACCTGCCTCATTTCATCTGGCCTCAGACACATATTGCCCTAAGGAGCAGTTGCATACACARAGCAGTGCCTGATGCACAAGAGTTTCCAGAGAACTTGTTCAGGAGAGGTGTGGCCCTTGCAGTGAGGGGCTGGTGCAGAGGTGCAGGGAGCTCTGCTTTGCTCAGCCTGGTTGAGACAAGAGTGGGCAGGGCCAGAGCCCCCTCCTGCTGCTTTGAGACTGGAATGCAGCTAATTGGCTCAGTATATTTAGATTTCTTTATTTCTTTTTTATTGTAGATTATTTTATTGGTTAAATACATGCAAGTTCAAGCAATTTTACAGAACTCACAGCAGACAAATTGGAATCTGTAGGGCTGGCTATTTTTACTGGCAGTGCAGATCTACATGCTATATTCACCCCACAAGGGAAAAAAACCCCAATATTCTGTCCCCTAAAAGTTAAGAGAAGCAGACCATAAAGGAACCAATTTATAATAATGATTAATGGGAAAGTACTGTGGGCAGTGGAGGKACAGACCAAAACTAATTTGTGGAAATTACTCAGCAAGTGATTATGACTAATGTGATTTGCCACTGGGCAATTCATGAACAAAAGTAAATGTGTGGAATGAAACATTCATTATCCATTATTCACTCAGTACAGGCAATGGCATTCATACTGTAGCAGAGCCTGGACATTTCAGGTAGATWTCAGGGTTTTGTTACACCAAGCATTATACGGACTCCTTTTTTTCCCCTTAAAAAAAGGGGAACAAATATTCCTCCTAAGGAGCTCCAGATGCTAAGTTTAGAAAGTTCTTAGGGACTACACCTTCTGTAAAARCATGTGAATTCACACTGTAGTTCAGGTATCGGTAGAAAAGAAGTCCTGTTTGAGATCAAGGTTTCCACGTGGACTAAAACCCTTGAGTAGTCCTTCAAACTCTAACGTGAGTTTTGTTGCTTCCGTTTAGCTCAACTGTCACAGCCCAGCTTAATCACTGGGGGTATATTCTAAGATAMTTCAAATACATCAAGACATATGGACAATTCCAAGATGATCCTTCAAGAATGTCTCAGTGTAGATTATGCATTTTTTTTTTTTCTGTAAATGCACATTCAGGAAAGTATTCCTTGCGTGTCTGATGCTTTTCCCAAAAGASATGGACCTTGCTGACCTCCACAGCATTGGCTTCAGCATGGCAAAAGGCAGAGCTCTCATCACTTCCTTCTCCACTGCCCTGATGCTCCTTTCTGAAAGAAAACAKCTAGAGCAGACTGCAAATGACAAAATGTACTCAGGAAAAATCAGTGGGAAGGACAGTCATTAAGAAACAGGCAGATAAAACAAAATAGGTGGAATGATAGATTGCTGTTCTTTCCAGCACCTGTTTATTTTCTTCTTGGTTCTTTTCCCTTTGTCCAAATCAGTAGGCAATAAGAAGGGGTATCTTTGCATTTGTTTTATTCTCTGCCTGACAGAGAAAACATTGCCTTTGCAATAGGATCATCAGGATCATTTTTTCAAACCTCTTTGTGATGACACCCTTCAGAAGGATAGGGTCCTTTCCGCTGTGCAGAGAGGAGTTTTCCTTATAAAAGTTTGGATTATGCAGGCCAGAAGAAAAGRCTAAGTCACTCTGCCTTACAAGGGTAAGTTTACAGGCAGAAGGAAATGGCTGGAATGAACACAGAACACAGTAAGTCTACAGAAAACCTCCCTCCACCAGACACAGTGAGGAGGAAGCCTGGGACAGGAGGGATTATCTTCCCTTTCCTTACCACCATGGATKGTCTGTTCTGTGCAAGAACACAATCTGTCTGTAGGGAATCTACTCTGTGCTTGCACTGTCCTGGGAATTTATTCAAAATATTTGTTGTGCATGGATCACATGGGGTCAGCTGGGCTCCCCAKGTGGTTTTTGTACAGCAGTTCCTGMGTTTGACTAATGGGGGCTAATCCTGACATCCCTAGAGAGCGTAACTTCTGGCCCTCTGAAATATACCTCATCTCTGATAAACCASCTTTCCAGGGTAGAGAAACATGCCGGAATTGAAACCCAGGTGCAGGAATCCTTCTCACTTCAACAACAAAAGTGATATAAATTTCATTTTCACCGACTTGTTCTTATAACACTGACAGTGGTGGAGAATACTATCAGGACTTACTATAACTCATGGTGAARACTGAATTTTGCACAACACTGAGTAACATAGCAAAACTGTAATGTCTCAAAAGGATCCTGGTTCAATCTTTATTTCCCCCTTGAGGAACGGAGTGTGTGAGCAACATTGGTTGGTATTAATTTACTGCTCAAACCAAAATAGATTCAAAGGAGACGTGTCTTAAATCAGTTCTGATTTTCTGAACTCAAAAATGAAAAAATCCAAACTGCAGTCTTTGTAATGATAGCAATTTATAAATCTCTGTTGACACTCCTGCTCATATCTCTGTTGTTTGTCAGGCATACTGAGTTAAGATGGCAACAGGACTGTAACTGGGGTTTGTTTGCAGCTTATTTTGCACTATTGAGGGGTCCTTTGTGTGCACTGCTTCCATTTTCTCCTGAGCACATAATCAACATTGTGCTTAAAGGCCCATATTTAAAAAACAGAACATAAATCTGTTTATGTCCATTGAATTTCAACTCTGGAAGTYTGCAGTTGGGAGAAGGACAGGAGACTTGACATGGAGACATACAAATTGCACAAACTCTAAATAGATGGCTTTTCAGATGGTGACTTGCAGCCACTACTGACTTCTGCTGGTATTGTGAGGCCTGGGCACTTCTAAGGAGTGCCATTATTTATCCACTTCTTGATGAGGAATTACTTGAGATTTTTTTTTTTTTTTGGGCAGGAAATACGGTAAGTTAATGTTAAACTTACCCATTATTTGTTATCCACTCAGGTGTCTCTTTGTGTCTGACCCCATGCAGATGAGGAGTGAAGCAGCTGCAGATGGAAGAGCCCTAAKACCTGACATGCAGCCAAACCCAGCCTCCGTTCATGAAACTGGGTGTCACTCTCTTGAGTCTTCCTTTCAGCCTTCTCAGCTTAGTTTCTCATCAGAATCAATMATTTTCTAATTAACTAGTCAGATTCCGATGCAGTTTGCCAAAATTTTATTATCCTGCTCTCAGAGTTACAGCATGCAATTATTTATTCAAGTTTCTACTGCTCCCACTTTGATGGGATTGAGTGAAGGAATCTCTTTCTGGGAGCCTAAGGGAGCTCTGTAATGAGAAACAGTTACAGGAAGGTGAGTAACCTTTTTGCTTCGAARGGTTTACAATATGAGGAGAAAGGAAAAAACACATGTGCTCCCTCTTTATGTTCCAGCATCCAGGGGGAAGAAATTAATGCAAAACCCAGCTTCCACTGTATTGCTGGGTTTTATGGTTAGTTTTTTTTTCCTAATTGGGAGTAAAACAAGTATCATTTTCAGTGTGTTACAGTAACAAGTATCATTTTCAGTGTGTTACAGTAACATTCACAAGTGAGGGTCAGGTTCTTAATAAGCAGTGCAGAAACAAATATAGGACAATATTCTTTAGGAGAGTTGGGTTTTACAGTGAAAAGTGTGGTAATCCRTGGCTTCATGACACTGCCTCTGCAGAAAGCTGAAATTTTCCATGCAGCATGAGCACAGGCTGGATATCTTGAGAATGGGGTTTCCAAAAGATAGCATCTTGAGCRGGGAACTAACCAAATATAGAGTTAAGAAATCAGATGTGATGAAGACAGCCTCAGCTTTCCTACTTAAAGCCAGTAAGGTGCTGATRTCTTGGCTGCTGGAGTATTCACATCAGTAAACCTTCTAGGCTGAGCTACCATAGGCAGCTCAGTCCACTTTCTTTAAAGCACAGTAGCAAGAAGGCATTGTCATAAYTGAAAGATGGAGAGCTTTTCAGGAGGGTGTAAGAGCTCTGTTACATCTTAGTTTTGTTTTTTTTTTTTTTGTATAAAGAGACTGAGATTTGATTTACTTGTATCCCAGATGTTAACTATTGGCCTAGAAAATTATATGCACCTTCATTTTTTCCTCACCGAGACSACAATCATTTATGTAAGGTTTCAACAACAGAAACAGAATTACATCCCAGACTGCCCAACAGTTTGCTGGAGTTGAAGGCAGCGAGCAGCCTGAAGATTTTGCACAYGCTCCAAACATTGTGGTACTCAACACAGTGATCAAACTGTTGCTTCCCTGATTCTGCTCTGGTTAAGCTGTTGTTTTGGTGACTGCTAATGAAGTTTATCCCTTYCCCCCCGTGCCTAGGGGTGGTGCATGTACATGGTACCTTGTACAGTCCTTTTTTTGGGATCATAGACCTGGCTTACAGGTTCTCCCCATCCTCTGAGACAGTGGGCCMGACTGCTGTGGGAAGTCTGTATCTGCTTTTGCAAGCTGTGCCAGCAGAGCAGCGYGCTGCAGAGAGCTCCTGTGCTGCACTGCTGCAGTGGCACCACTGCTTTTCATTTATATCTGCAGGGAAAGGCCAGGGAAGACAGATTTTGGCTTAGACACTYCCTCGACTGCCTCTAGAAAATTGTTCTGCCAGAGAGAGATTCTCAAACTGAAGCCACTTCCTTTTTCATTTTCCTCTTTGTGTTCATAGCTTGAATTAACTCTGTTTTAAATAACACCATCMAGCAGATAATGAAGCAACTGTGCATGCTAGCAAGAATAGAAGAGCAAAGAAAGCAAATTTACAGGTGTGGCACCTGTATCACTTTAAGGCAATAAGTATTTATTATTAAATTTATCAGGCACCATGAATCTAATTCCTATGCTATTTTATTGGGAAATTAGGAATTTAATGGGCAAAAATTGCTTTCCAGATAATAAAATAATTTAATGCCAAATGAAAGGCAAGTCAGCGCACTACAGTCTTAAAAAAAAGATCAGAAAAAGAAGATGAAAATAATCAAACTCACCTTAAGCCTGTTGAATGCAGCCCTCAGGATCTGTGTGTCCCTCTCGCTCTCAGGAAAAACCCGGATGACTTTATCACTGCCAAYAACAGAAAATTGAATTGACACTTTAAAACACTTTTCAGCAGTACAAGGGGACAGTAATTAAGTTCAGATAGCTACTGTAATTGTGTTCTTTTTCTGCATTGGCAAAATGTTGGGTGATCTGGAGTTCTCCTTCTAAACTTGCTGCTGGCTTTTGCACTTCCATAGAAATTATTTGCTCTTTACAGATCAGTGTCAGCTTGACCTTCCATTTCTATGTAAATGCTTTGTTCATTCCTTCTAAGTTATACCATTCAGGCTGACATCTTCCATACTGAACATCTGCCTCAGAACAAAGCCATTATTTTTTTTCCAAAATGATTAATCTGGTTCTGAGGATGAGATTAAGTAACATACATTGCTTTTTAATGTTTAAACTTTTAATGGACTTTGAAAAGTCTGTTGTTCTCATTCATTGAAGAGGGGAATTGACTTTAGAAAAGAGGTGGTCTTCATATTAGGGCATGGCTTTTGTTTTACCCATTAAAACTTGCACAAATTTTGTGATGTAAATAGCTGCTCATCCATGTTCAGAAGGTTCTAAATAATAGTAGCTGACTGCATTCACTTTCTTTAACAGAAGCTGAAATAGAATAAGTTTAGGTAAGATAGGATGAAGGAACTCTTTGCTGTGAGGAGCACTAGAATTGATTGTCCAGAGAAGTTGTGGATTCCCCATCCCTGAAAGTGTTTWAGGCCAGGTTGGATGAAGCGTCCTAACAATCTGTTCTTGTGAAAGGTGTCCCTGTCCKTGGCAGTGGGGGCTGGAAMTAGATGACCATTAAGGTCCCTTCCATCTCAAGCCATTCYATGATTCTATCATTTCAATGAATGAAATTTTGCAAACAGGAAAACAAGAAACTGAGTGRCCCTTCAATKACCCCATGTATGTCATGACCTAWGGGAAGCTGGAGACCACAGAAAATAGAGGGAGTGATCATGTAACTAAAACCTCAGATTCACACAAGAAAGATGAAGCAACTTTGCATGGCCAATGTGAATTCTGGCATTTTCCTAYATTTTGAGTTTTTAAATTTGTACTGTTTATAATCACTTCTCTTCTAGGAGACCTTAGAGGTCATGCATATCTTTATTTCTACAGTTCCATCCATTAGYCAGAATGCCTTTTAAACAATTTCTTTACCTACAGTTTCTATATTATCTGGGAAATTTACACAGTAGAATTTCCCCTGACATAGAGAAGTTTGTCCCTTAAATATCTTGTGAGCTCCCCTTCTTTGCTGAAGGTTATGAGTCCACTGAGAAGACATTTGGCCAACTAGAAACAGCACTGCTGTGTTCATCCTTGCTGTTTCACTGTTTCAGGAAGGCTCCCAAGCTGCTGCTGTTCTCAGGCTTCAGGTCTTGCCTTTGGTGTACAGCTGCTACAGCTCTGGTAGGACTCACCTTTGTTGCARGAATCCTTAATGCATATGTAGGTAGGCATAAAGCCTTGTCATTTTGTCTTTCAGAAGAAAGCACTACTAATCAATCTGAATTCTGGAATGGCTTACTGAAAATAATGTCTTTCTGGAAATAATTTTCCCTTATCCCCATTCTTTTTTAGTCTTTTGTCTACACTCAGTATTTGTTCCCCTTGCTTAGCCTCTGATCCTTTTTTCTGTCTCAGCTTTTCAGTTATGGATCTTCTCCCTGTTGAGTTTTCCCTGCAGACAGGTCCTAAGCCTTCCAACTCCTTCACAGGAATAAAGTGTTTGGTTGGTTTGGTTAGAATCCAAGTTTTTGCTGCAATAACACTGATGTACCCAGAGGTGTGGAGCTCAGTCCATTCCCCTTGGCTGCTGTTGACCTTACTAGACAAATGGTTTATGCCTAAGAAGAAAGATTTCTGAAAGCACTCTTGTTATAATTTGGCAGCTCAAAAAACATAGGGGAAATTACTGTGCTCCCAAGCCAAGTTTAACCTCCTGTATAGGAGCTTGCACAGAAAGGAATAAATCTCAGAGTACTGTAACTGCTGCATTTATGAAGGAAAATAGATGCTTTTAATTTATGATACATACAACAGTAATATTCTTTTCCATTACTCACTCCTTTGTAACTACTAAATTGTTGTTAAGAAGAAAATAATAAAGAAGTAATAAAGAAGTAATGATTGTTCAGGACATGGGAAGTTGATGTAGCTAATAAAGATTCATCAGACATTTCTGGAAGGATTGGTACAACCAACATATAAAAACAGATTTTAATGAACTAAGTAGCTAAGCATGTGTTACACAGCTGTAATGGAATTTCAAAGGAACAGATATCACTTAGGTATGGTCTTGAATTAATACACATCCCTGTAAACTGTTTTCGATTATCTCAGCCAATCTGTCATTTCCAAAGTGATGAAAAACCKGCCCTAAAGAGGAAAATATTGGTGCTGTGACAGATTGATCACTTGACACATTGCTGGGAAAKGCCTCAAGCTGTGTCTGGGTCTGCTGCTAGAGGGCTCATAGCAAGCCGTTTAGCATACCTGGTAATTTTAGTATTTTATTAGAAGATGGTTAAGGCATTATGGCAAGGCCCTTTCAATTCTTGTGCATGCAAAATGTTGGATTACACTGGATTCCTGAGAACTATCTGCTAACACCCACTTCTGTAGGCTGGCTAGCCAYTGGATAATCATGATGCATTTTTCAGCAAAGCACAGATAGCAAATCTTGCTTTACTACAGATTTCTACCAGTCAAAAACCACAACCATAAGGTTAATAGCTTATAGTTTTTAGCTTTATAGCTTTTCTGGTTGCATTTCACATTAAAGAATCCAACAATTACCGTAAACGCTATGCAAGTCACATTGAATTTAGGGTAGAAATTCAGCAACCTACCCACAATTCAAAACCCAACAACAAAATCTACCAGATCATGGACTAATGTGGTTGATAAATGGCAGCTACACCCAAACTCAGGACCATCCCCTGTGAGGTCCCCTGCCATCCTTCATGTTGAGCTGYTGAGGAGAAAGAAGCAAGTAATCATGTACGTGTCTAGGGAAAGTTTTGTTGCCTGCAGACATATGTCAGCATTTTGCTGATTTATGCAGGTAAGGTTACTTTTCTAACCATGATGCCTCTAAATCTTTTTTTTTTTTTAAATCCTACTTTTGAAAGTTTCTAAACAAACAGCAAGATGGGATCTATTTTGTATAAATTAAAGTAGAAATTTATATCCACCATGACAAACTTTCAATTTCCCCCTAGCAATTAGGCTAATGGAATTTCAGGCTAGGACTTAGTGAGATCTTTTGAATTTTGTGTAAACACAGTTGAAAGGCTCTGCCAAGAGCAAAACACAAGCTTTAGTAAATGAACTGACTGAATGAGAGTGGTGAGCAAAGAGTGGAAGCCAGACGGCTGATGTCCCCACGGACAGCCTTATKTCTGAGCAAAAGGGGTGACCAGCTGCTGGCTGCACTGACATGCAATGACATTTTTTTCCCCTTCATCGCCCCCTTATATTTTGCAGGAGCAGCATGAGAAGTGACACAGCTGCTTTTGAAACACAGAATGTGTTACGTGGCCCTGGGAAGGGTGATACTCCCTGACGCCAATGGGGACTAAAACTTACTGGTTCATTTCTTTGGCTTTTTCATTTACTTTTTTTCCATTTATTTCATARTTTTACTCATCTATGAACAGACCAGATGGATCCAATGAAACCATTCTGCAGCACATCTACAACTTCTTTACTGATGGAATTAGCAGTTCTCTCTCATAAACTTTCCTGCTTAAGTCACATGGCATGAACAATATTTATGTAAATTCCTCATTTCCTTCAAGAAAATCCTTCTTATTGTTTTATTCTCCTGACTAATGTGAACCTTAATTAGATCTCTGCTCTCCCTTGGAATTTAATAAAAGTATGTTTACAAAGGCTTTACAAGTATTTTAAACAGTTAAGAAGTGATATGCTATAAATCATATACCTAYAGAAAAAATTGGAAAGAAAATAAATCCCCAGTTACAGGCATCCATTCCTAATGGTAGGAGGGATTACAGTTCTTGAGAACAAGCTGCTRTAGCTGTTGCACTTTAGCGGCTCATGACACATCTGAAAAGATCCACAGTGTGAAAGCCTCTCGTCAACTCACAATGTGCCATCACATATCATTTGTGATGAAAGATCAGTTGCTTCATCCCCTTCACTAAAATCGGATAGCCAAAAGGTTAAGAAATAATAAAATATTAATGCTTTTTTTTCTGTCTCCATTACTGGGATGAAGAGTTTTAACTGGGACTCAATAYTGTTACAAAATTAATATACAACAATAAGGCCGGGCTTCTTCCTCAGACCCAATGGGGACATCTGGAAAAGGAACTTTACAAAATTTCCCGAGTCCTTCATTAGGTTTCCTGTATTACAGCAGATGCTGATTCAAAAATAAGAGACACCATTTCTATTGTCTAGATAGCAATGTATATATTTTCTGCCTTTTAGCTATTAAGGCAGGAAAATTGATACCATTCCTAACACAAGAAGGAGCTAGCTAATTTATAGTTTTGAATGAAAAATAGTTACTTGGGTAATGCAGGCAGAAATGCTGAGGAGGCAAAGTATGTTACTGAATTATATTTACCAGCATAGCACAGATGACTTCTTGGGAAGCTGAATTTCCATGCTAATTCCCAGGCATGGAATATCTGAGTTTTATAGATGTTTTTCAGTGCCAAAAGGTTTTATTTACCAAGAGGAAAACTTTAAGACCAAAGCAATSCTATATTACTAGCAGTCTTCCTTTGAACACCTTAATTTCAGAGACACATGGTGTGGAAAGGTGARTATCTGCATAAATTCCAGTTTTCATGCCAACCAAGGAACAATGCTTTTCCAAGAAAAGCTGGCCTCCAATGTCTCACAAACACTGCCTATAGGTCCATGTAGCTTAAATAGAAGAAGTGGAAACCAATTGCTTCAGTGTATGTCTCTGTCTCAGAATAGAAAAACCAACTGTGTATGGCAATGATAGCTGTCTTGCTTCATCAAGT